GGGAGCTGCGCTGTGTCAGATTACACAGCGCAGCTCCTGATCGGGCTAAGCATTCTATCGCCATGGCAACCATCAGTATCCGGCGGCCGGGAGTGTCGGATGAACGGATGATCTGACACTCTCGGCGCAGAGATGGGGGGCCCGCTGGCCGCTGGGTACTGATGGTTGCCATGGCGGCGCTGGGACTGTGCTGGGCCCCCTAGAGGCCGGAGGCCTTGGTGCGTCCGCACCGCCTGCACCGGCGGTAGTTCCGCCACTGATCAGTGTAATGCATTGAAGCAGTGGCCTCTATGGTGTAGGGCTTGGGGAGCAATGAAAAAGAATAACCATAAAGGTAGTGAACAGAGCCATGCAAATCAATTCTTTATGCCTTAATAGCTAAGGGCTGGTTCACACCAGATGCAGTTTGGTAACTGCATCCAGAATGCATCACGATGCTTTCCTATGGGATTTCTGGTGCTCTGTTCACACCAGTGCACTCCGCTCCGATGCAGTTAGAAAAAAAATACTGCTTGCCCTATTTTAGCTGCATCGGATTGCAACGGAACGCATCAAAAACACATGCACTGGAATGCACCTGAAATCCCATTTTAATCAAAACAAAAAACACAATCGTGGTACAATCGAGGCAAAACGCATCGCAGCTGCACAGATGCATGCAGTTCTGGTGTAAAGTAGCCCTAAATGTACATCCAGAACAGCTAGTGTATAGCACAGGTACAACTTAATATTTTAGAATGATTTATTCCAGTCTGCATATAGCTTATGTCAGGTATGTTGGCAATCATCAGTGCAGTGCATGGAAACAGTGGCTTCTATGGTGTAGGCCTAGGGGCTGAGTTCCACAAGAGTTGGAGGGACAGAGTTGCCCACCTCTGCTTTAGTCCCGCCGCACCATAACCTTCTGAGTTATACTTTCTTTTTGATGTTTCCAGAGAGGAATGACAGGTAGGATCTTCTATACACACACACAGTGACACAACATGGCCTTGTCTGTGAGATGTAGTAGTATGAGGTTAGTGCAGGGGGGTGTTATGTTGGTGTTTTTAGGTAATAGGGGAGGTCGTGTTTATAGAACAGGCTTGTTCATGTGATGTCTTCAGCTGCAAGGCTGCAGATTATCCGACTTTTTTGGTGTTTGTGTTTTAAGTATTAATTCGTATTTCTACATGAACTGTTTTGTCTCTCCAGCTGAGGCCGCAGTGCAGGAAGGCCCTGACTCGAATTTTTACCATCTCAGATCAGGACAACAACCAGATCCTGAGCGATGATGAGCTCAACTACTTCCAGGTATCTTTTAGGAAGCCAAGCATATGACCAGGACCAAGACATATGACCAACAGACCAAGCTGTGGTCTGTTGTCTGATATGCTCACGTACTGTTACTTGGGTTGCACTATTAACCACATTTATTATGCTTTTTTTTTTTTTTCTAGTTTTCTTATTTTCTTTGTATCTAGTGACGATCATCTGTCCCTAAGTGCAGGCAATGTGAATGACTGCGGCCGCTGTCAGCCTGTCATTACTTTGTACTGGCTGATCTGCTGCAGCTATCCGTAACCATCTGTCATCCTAGATCTAGAGAGCTCCTGGCTGGCCGTTTTTTTACTACGGCTGGCCCGGAGGCAGTTAAAGCAAGGTGTACATGGAAGGGCTTTAAACACTAATAGCAAAAAGTTTCCCAGCACATTCACCAGCCAGCATGCAAAAAAACTTGTCTCAACGCTAAGGTTAAAAACAGAGGTTTAGATACACGTCTTCTTTTAGCAGAAGACGTGTATCTAAACCTCTGTTTTTAACCTTAGCGTTGAGACAAGTTTTTTTGCATGCTGGCTGGTGAGTGTGCTGGGAAACTTTTTGCTCCCCTGTCATCCTTGCCGCATCATTCCTGCTGCTGTCGGCCCGTATTGCAGGTGTAAATGAGGCTTAAAACTGTAATGGAAGAACTGGTGGACTTTTTTTTATTTTTTTTTATAAAGTTCTCTTCAAAGTGTCAATTTCTCTTTTTTTTCGATTCTATTTGCATTTGTGTATAATATGTGTTCTGTCTGTTGGGAGGTAGCAATCCTGCTTTGGGAACCCGCTGGCACCTCAAGCCTTAGAAGATGTGAAGATGGTCGTAAAAAAGAACACAGCAGATGGCGTGCGGGACAACGGACTGACATTAAGTGGTAAGATTAAGGGCGCAACTGAAGGATGAAGTAAAGCAGACAAAGATTCGGGCAAGTAGAGTTTTTATGACTGAAAACATCACAACACTCTGCCTCCGTGCTCCTCCCAAGAGCCCTCAGTCATACAAGGGCTCCCGCAAGCAGGGGGCTGGATTCTTGAGAGGAGTAAGGCCCCATTCACACTGAGCGATTTATCGCGCATATTTCCACGCGATATCGCTCTATGTAGCTTCTCAAATCCATTTCAATGGAGCTGTTCACATCTCGTCGCTCAATATCGCTTGTCACTCCTACATGACCCTTTTTTCGAGCGATTTCGAGCGATATTGCTCCTTATTGCATACAGCCCAATAGGAAAAAGTCGCGCAATATCGCTCGTCGCGCAATATCGCTCAAAATCGTGCGATTTTCATGTCGCTCAGTGTGAATGGGACCTAAAGCCCGTGAAACATTGCATGAAAGGTGGCACGCAGCAAAGGGAAGTGGCGGCGCGCAGACCCTCGCCTACAGTGTGTCTTTAAATTTTCCATCCGCTAGCATAGCTGAGCGTGCTGAGATGAAAGATTTTAACCTTCAGCCAATTGGCAATCTTAAGTCCTACTCCTTATAACAGGGGGGCCCCACGAAATGCACGGGCTGTTTTGTGTTCTACTGTGAACTAATTTTATCATTCAAAGATTTTGGGCTCTTGGACATTGACTTAGCACACTCATTGGACTGTATATGTGGATTCTCAACTCCGGGTCCCCCCTTTTCTTAAGGGTTGTCCCCGTTTTTGTAGAGAGCAGCTGCACTGGAGACCATGCACCCAATGATATTTGACGGAGCTGGTGAAAAGGTGTATCCAGCACCTGACCTCCATCTTTTCTTGGCCACTGAGGTACTCTCATTGGGCAGGATGGTGCTTGGTGGTTTTGATTTCAGAGGGGCACACAGAAGAGGGTTTTCCAGTAATTAAGATAATTGCAGGGATCATTAGATGATTCATCCTAGGCCGTGCTTTTACTTAAAATGTTAGAATGGCTGATGGGTTCACTTTAAAACAATCCTTAGCTATCCTGTGGAAGTTAAAGGAGAACTATGAGGTGAGTGAAAATCACTCACCTCATAGTTCTACCTGACCTGTGACAATGAAACTGTCACAGGTCGGCTCAGTAGATCGGGAAGTGAGTGAACACATACCGTCGCTCGCTCACTTCTTGATCCATCCCTGCAGGGATTCCCCCTCCCCTATCCGATCCTTCAGCGCTGACTGGCGGAACTGATGGGGGAGGGGGCGGGCAATGCTGGCTCTGCCTCTAGATAGGCAGAGCCAGCGGTCAATCCCGCAGCTGGGTGGATCCAGACAGTAATGTCGGGATCCGCTGCGGCGTCTCAGTATACTGAGCTTAGGGTGACGGGAGGATGCTAGTTTGTGTCCTCCTGTTACCCTTAGGAGAACTATGGGGAAAAGCCCTAACCCCATAGTTCTCCTTTAAGGATCTGCATGTTGCCAGTCACTGAACAGCAGGGGGAGTAAGTGACAAGAGTTTCCAAGAGACCTCTTGAAAGGAAACCTGTACTGAGAGTAGTATGAGGGCCACCATTAGAGATAATTGGGCCTGTACAAACCCCCTCTCCTGCCAACAGACAGCCCCTGCCAAGCCCAGGTCCCTCTAACCCATTCGGGCCCAGTAAAGGAGTACTGCCTGTACCCCCCTATCAGCGGCCCTGGTCCCATTGCTGACCCCAGTTGACTTTCTGTCTCTGGCTTCAGTGCTTTCTCTGTCTCTGACCTGGAACAAACATGCAGATTAGAAAGTAATTGTCAAGTCAGAACCCTCAACCTGAAAGCATGCTCTGGGTCAGTGCCTCAGAAGGTATTGAAGCCAATTAAATATCATCATAAGGCCCCGTTCACATTGAGCGATTTATCGCTCGCGGTAATTCTCGCGATATCGCGGCAATTTACCGCGCAATATCGCTCTCCAATGCTTCTCAATGGGGCAAAGGGTCCTGCTGTCGCGCTTCGTGCGTCGCTACAGCAGGACCCTTTTTGGAGCGGATTTAGCAACGATTCAAGCTTGCTCAATGCAAGCATTTGCGCGTTATCGCGCAAAATGCAAATGGCGCGACAAACGCGCGATTTGCGAATCGCGCAGTGTGAACGGGGCCTAAGCATCTAACAGTTTGAAACAGAGCTGTCAATGGCGGCCTCCATGTCCTCCCAGTAGAGGTTTACGTTTACCTTAGTCCAGCTGGAAACCTCATTGTCCTCCCGATACTTCTGTCCTTTACAGCGTCTGTGGAAGCACAACAAACAGAGACCATCACATACATCACCATCTCCCTCTTCATCGTTTTGTTTCTTTGTTTTCCCATTTGTGAAATAATTTCTCTTCTCTTCAGGATTCCTCTTCCTTAACACCCTGTTTATTCAGCGGGGACGCCACGAGACCACGTGGACCATACTGCGACGTTTTGGCTACGACGATACATTGGAACTTACCGATGACTACCTCTACCCTCCGTGAGTCCCCATTCTACATTTTCTGTGCTGACTTTGAGCAGCTTCCGTCCATGCTACTGTCTATTATGTCTCTAAAGAGCTATAGATTTGTCTATTCTCTCTCTCTCTATTATTATGCTTATAATACGCTACATTACTGAGATTCAGAAATACCTGGGGACCGTTTATGCTTGCTTCTCATCTGGTGATCATGCCGGTGACACATTTCTTGTCCTAGAGTGACATCACTCATTCATTGTACTGTGTGTGAGAGGCAGCATTGTCAATCTAGGACAGGACTACACAACGTCTTCATTACATTGAGGGGAGGTGTTCTGTAGTACACCAAATGTATCTGGGAAGGCAGGTAACATTTTCAGATAGGGATATGCCGATACGAGGCAGCATGGAGCCGACTTCCTGGCCAATTGGGAAGCCCTGCGGCGAGCCATTACACACCGCCCGGTTTCCCGGCTAATCAGGAAGCCAGGTGGCGAGTCATTACACACCGCCCGGTTTCCCGGCTAATCAGGAAGCCAGGTGGCGAGTCATTACACACCGCACAGTTTCCCGGCTAATCAGGAAGCCAGGTGGCGAGTCATTACACACCGCCCGGTTTCCTGGCTAATCAGGAAGCCAGGTGGCGAGTCATTACACACCGCCCGGTTTCCTGGCTAATCAGGAAGCCAGGTGGCGAGTCATTACACACCGCACAGTTTCCCGGCTAATCAGGAAGCCAGGTGGCGAGTCATTACACACCGCACAGTTTCCCGGCTAATCAGGAAGCCGGGTGATGAGTCGTTACATGCTGCCCTGCTTCCTTAATGGGACTACCAGTATTCGGTATCGGCGAGTACCGGAAAAAAAATATCAGTACTCGGTACCGAAAAAACGTTATTGGTGAATTCCTATTTTCCCAGATGTAATTTCCTTACCAGGGCATTACAAGGACACTTTTTCGGGCAGGATCAACAGGAAATTTCTGTACTTGCAGAAAATATTCATATATATATAAAATTAATTTGGGTGCAGCGTTACATGACTGAGTAATTGTCAATCAAACTATCACGGCAGTGAATAATGTCCTGGTAATGAAGAGGTGTATACAGTCTAGTACTCAAGCAATGAAACAACACATCCTTTATGTCAAACCATTAGAATGAAGCGGCGGAGGCTTTTTAATTCCAATTCTCTGCTGGGAGTTGTAGCTTCCTACACTGTTGGCAGCGCTCCAGCCTGATGGAACAAAGCTCTTTGTGTGCAGCCTGTAGTGGGTGAGGAATTGTGTCTTTATCTAGAGATTGTGTGAACTGTTTCAGCACTACAACTATATTTCATCAAATGTTTTACACAGCAAGTGTTATGCTATAAAGTGCAGCATCTGCGGACACACTTCCTTCACACATACTACAGACAATAAATACAGAACCTTGTCCTGCATATTGGTTGTGTGATTTGCAGTGGAAAGGAGATCTATATCATGTGCTTTCAAGCAAATTATGCACCATGATAGAAATTCAGGCTTCCTCCTGAAAAGACTAGTTGCCTGGCTGTCTCTGGCCCCAAAGCTTACTGAGTCACTGACCCGGAACAAGCGTGCAGCTAGTGAAGTCAGACTTGCTGACATACTTGTTCCTGTTTAGCGAATGAGAAAATTTCAAAACCATGAAAGCCATGCAAGTGGTCATTTAGTTTATTTAGTTTGTAACCTGGGGAATGGTCCTTACTGTCAGTGTTCCCGGGACCTGTGTCACAGGGAGGACACGCCGTATGTGGACCTTCGGACCTCCAGCTCTGGATGCTCTGGTGACTCCATGAGAGTGCTTCCTGATCTATGCCTTTCCTTCTCTGAAGCACCTCCCTCATTTACTCCACTGAATCAAGATATAGAGCATTCCAGTTGCCTCATAGCTCTCGGACTGGCCTTGTGGATGTTATATTCTGATCTGATCAAGCTTATGGCAGACACTCAGTGGGCTCTTCCAGATCAACAGGCTCTCTTTACTTAAGGGCCAGTTTTCCATCCTGCTTCAGGACCTCTGGCTTTAACATCATGGATGTGAAGTCCAGGTCCAGGTCCATGGATTTTGTGGTAGGTACAAAAATCCTGTCTTTAAAGGAGAATTATGAGGCAAGTGCTTTTCATTCAGCCTCATAATCTGAGCCGACCTGTGGCAATGAGACTGTCACACGTCGGCTCAGTAGATCGGGAAGTGAGCGATCACATACCGTCGCTCGCTCCCTTCTCGATCCTTCTCGTGACTGTCACTCACGGCTCCCTGCAGGGATTCCCCTCCTCCCCCGTCCGATCCTCCAGCGCTGACTGGCGGAAAGGACAGGGGAGGGGGCGGGCACAGCTGCGTCTGCCTCTGGATAGGCAGAGCCGGCTGTCAATCCCGCAGCTGGGTGGATCTCGACAGCAATATCGTGATCCGGCTGCGGCGTCTTGTCGGCTCTACAAGTTTAAACAGAGTCCCGGCGGCAAAAGTCACCGGGAGTCTGTTTAAACAGCCCCGATGCTGGCGACGTACACTGTACGTCGTCAGTCACGAAGGGGTTAAGGCATTGCAAATCTGCCACAGGGCTGTAAACCAAAAACAGTTCAAGACTAAACGTAAGAACATTGGATTAAAAGACAGTGTTTGTTTGAAATTAATATACAGACACTATGGTAGTACATTAGGTAATGAGCCATGATCCCATCAGCTGAGCAGGCAGCAGATGTCTCCAGATTCTAGATCTGCCTTTGTGATGAGATTTCTCTATTGTGTTTTACTCTGGCAGTATTCATGACATTAATAGAAGGCTTTCATCCTTCTCCCACACGCTTACTTCTTTTGTTTCCAGTAATAATTAGCCCTTCTCTACCCACAGACTGCGCGTTCCCCATGATTCCTCCACAGAGCTCAACCATTTCGGCTACCAGTTCCTGCAGAAGACGTTTGAGAAGCACGACTTGGTGAGAAGACTGTGAGATGCTAATGGCTCATGTATGTGTAGGAGGCAAAGCAGTGCTGCTTATTGTATATAATTATGTAGAAAAGGAGGAATCGCAGTGCTGCTTAATGCAAGAAGGGAGGACTGTGGTGTGGTGTCTGTTGGTGCAATGCTGGTCATGTGACTATTATATATGCACACAGAATAGCGACGGAAGACTGCCCTGGTCATCACAACTGCATAGCTGAATGTTGAAGGCCCATGACAGAATGTAATTCCCTTTCTTTCCACAGGATGGCGATGGCGCTCTAAGTCCTTCTGAGCTGCAAAGTTTTTTCAGTGTTTTCCCTTACACACCGTGGGGCCCGGAGCTGCATAACACAGTGTGTATGGCCGAGAAGGGCTTGCTGCCCCTGCATGGATACTTATGCCAGTGGACGTAAGTTAAAAAGCCATCTGATATCCATTCTGTGCTTCCATTAGTCTTATGCTGGCCATACAAAGTACCAATTTTAGGTTTTATTTCCACATTTACAAACACATTTGTTTGGCAGTACCCGAGCCTAATAGTAGGTCATAGAGAGCCAGAGGAGTGCAATAGCAGGCTTTATGTGAAACGGCACTGACAATTCACAAAGCTGTAGCAGATCCTCTCCTCTGTTGCAACTGATTGTTCTCAATTTCCTGTAAACTTGCATCTCCACACTATAACACTTTACATTTGCAGCAGCTATCCTGAGCCCATCTTTATTTCCTGTCTGAATGGCTTCAGTCACCATCAATCCCCTCTCCTCCTGATCCATAAGGGTCCTCGGTCTGCCTCACACAGTTTTTAGATTTCTCTGCCATCAATAATTTTTCATCATGCGTAGTGTTGATCTTGAGACCCGGCATCAGTCCCTGTACTGCTCTTAAGTGTTATATGGGAAGCTGCTTCCCATATAATGGCATCCCGGCATCCCTTTAGACATGCATGCTCAAGAGGCTGATCAACAAAGGCTGCAGCAGCGAGCAGGGAAAAGCAGGTATGTCTAAAGGGCTAAAGGGATGCCGGGATGTACTTTCTTTTATATATATATTTTTTTTAATTGCATTTCTTTCTGTTTTGCTGGCAGGTTTGTGGCTTACTTGGATGTACACCGGTGCCTGGAACACCTGGGCTATTTAGGATACCCCATTCTGTGCGAACAGGACAGCCAGACTCGTGCTATCGCAGGTACGAGCTGTTTATAGAACACATTCCCCAGAGGCACCCAGTCTGAAATTTGAATATGTGATATGTATAGCAGTGCACAAACAGAGTAAACTCGCCTAAAGGCACACACACACACACACACACACACACACACACACACACACACACACCCACACCCCAAATATAGCAACTGCCTAAAACTATTGAAAAATGTAATTAGCATGTTGATGAATATCAGTAGGGATGCACCGATACCGCTTTTTCAGTATCGAGTAGTAGATACCGTAAGTCTCATTAAGGAAGCTGGGCTGCATGTAATGACTAGCCACCCGGCTTCCTGATTAGCCGGGAAGGCGGTTCTATGCTCCCTCGTCACCAGGAGACGAGCAAGCATTTAGCCGTCTTTCTGGCCAATCAGGAAGCAAGGCGGCGAGTAATTTCCCGTCCCCCAACTTCCTAATTGGCTGAGAAGGCGGCTTCAAGCTCCCTCGTCACCAGGTGACAAGGAAGCCGGAGGCAGGTAATGACTCGCTGCCCGGCTTCCTGATTGGCCAGCATCCCAGTCAATCAGGAAGCCGGGTGGCGTGTAATGACTCGGCACCCGGCTTCTTGATACCAGAAGTTCCAGTATCGGAAATAGTATGGGTGCATTTAGGCGAGTACGAGTACTCGCCCAAATACTCGGTATCGGCACCCATACTAGTATCGGTATCTGTGCGTCCCAAAATATCACTAACTGAAAATACCCAGCTCCCGTGACCCCGTTGGGAGGACTTCACCTTCATTCCCTGTGACAGCAAGACAAGAAAGAAGGGTTGTCACTGGAACAAGACGAGGCATATAGTATTAACCTGACGGAGGTTCTAAAAGTTCCCCATTCTACTAATGTGCTTGGTTGTGGTCTATGTCCCCACTTTTCCATCATACATGAGGCACACATTGCAAATTAAAACATAAGAGCTTTGATCCTTTTCCTACTCTGTCTGGTACAGCAAAAATGTGGCTCAAGTTGACCTTTAACTTTTGGCTGTAGGGTCATTTTAACTGGCCGGAGATTTGTCTGAAGCAAACATACAGCGATGTACTTTCTTCTTCCTTTCAGTGACCCGCGAGAAGAAGATAGACCTGGAAAAGGGACAGACGCAGAGAAGTGTTTTCTTGTGTAAGGTCATTGGCCCTCGGGGGACAGGGAAGTCGGCCTTCCTGAGGACTTTCCTTGGTCAGAGCCTGGAGGTGAGTGACATGTTCTGTAACCAGCTGCCCTCTGCTGGTGTCAGTGGGAAATGCTTTTTAAAAAAAATGGCAATCCTGCCTTTAAAGGGGACCTTGCTTTTCAGACAAGGACAGCTTATTCAATGAGGTCCCCATCCCTCTATTTTAAACACTACATAAAAGTGCAAACAAGAACCTGTGGAGGGAAAAATAGATGATCACCTTTCTCCGACTTCCATAGTGCAGGGGGATGGCATCTGTCCCTCTTGTCTCCTCATCTGACCCGCATGTCTCCTCATCTGACCCGCTTGTCTCCTCCTCTGACCCTCTTGTCTCCTCCCCGGACGCTCTTGTCTCCTCCCCGGACGCTCTTGTCTCCTCCCCGGACGCTCTTGTCTCCTCCCCGGACGCTCTTGTCTCCTCCCCGGACGCTCTTGTCTCCTCCCCGGACGCTCTTGTCTCCTCCCCGGACGCTCTTGTCTCCTCCCCGGACGCTCTTGTCTCCTCCCCGGACGCTCTTGTCTCCTCCCCGGACGCTCTTGTCTCCTCCCCGGACGCTCTTGTCTCCTCCCCGGACGCTCTTGTCTCCTCCCCGGACGCTCTTGTCTCCTCCCCGGACGCTCTTGTCTCCTCCCCGGACGCTCTTGTCTCCTCCCCGGACGCTCTTGTCTCCTCCCCGGACGCTCTTGTCTCCTCCCCGGACGCTCTTGTCTCCTCCCCGGACGCTCTTGTCTCCTCCCCGGACGCTCTTGTCTCCTCCCCGGACGCTCTTGTCTCCTCCCCGGACGCTCTTGTCTCCTCCCCGGACGCTCTTGTCTCCTCCCCGGACGCTCTTGTCTCCTCCCCGGACGCTCTTGTCTCCTCCCCGGACGCTCTTGTCTCCTCCCCGGACGCTCTTGTCTCCTCCCCGGACGCTCTTGTCTCCTCCCCGGACGCTCTTGTCTCCTCCCCGGACGCTCTTGTCTCCTCCCCGGACGCTCTTGTCTCCTCCCCGGACGCTCTTGTCTCCTCCCCGGACGCTCTTGTCTCCTCCCCGGACGCTCTTGTCTCCTCCCCGGACGCTCTTGTCTCCTCCCCGGACGCTCTTGTCTCCTCCCCGGACGCTCTTGTCTCCTCCCCGGACGCTCTTGTCTCCTCCCCGGACGCTCTTGTCTCCTCCCCGGACGCTCTTGTCTCCTCCCCGGACGCTCTTGTCTCCTCCCCGGACGCTCTTGTCTCCTCCCCGGACGCTCTTGTCTCCTCCCCGGACGCTCTTGTCTCCTCCCCGGACGCTCTTGTCTCCTCCCCGGACGCTCTTGTCTCCTCCCCGGACGCTCTTGTCTCCTCCCCGGACGCTCTTGTCTCCTCCCCGGACGCTCTTGTCTCCTCCCCGGACGCTCTTGTCTCCTCCCCGGACGCTCTTGTCTCCTCCCCGGACGCTCTTGTCTCCTCCCCGGACGCTCTTGTCTCCTCCCCGGACGCTCTTGTCTCCTCCCCGGACGCTCTTGTCTCCTCCCCGGACGCTCTTGTCTCCTCCCCGGACGCTCTTGTCTCCTCCCCGGACGCTCTTGTCTCCTCCCCGGACGCTCTTGTCTCCTCCCCGGACGCTCTTGTCTCCTCCCCGGACGCTCTTGTCTCCTCCCCGGACGCTCTTGTCTCCTCCCCGGACGCTCTTGTCTCCTCCCCGGACGCTCTTGTCTCCTCCCCGGACGCTCTTGTCTCCTCCCCGGACGCTCTTGTCTCCTCCCCGGACGCTCTTGTCTCCTCCCCGGCCCCTCTTGTCTCCTCATCTGACCCTCTTGTCTCCTCATCTGACCCTCCTGTCTCCTCATCTGACCCTCTTGTCTCCTTATTTCTCAGGAGCAGCAGAAGAACCGCAGGGAAGTCTCCTTCTACTCCATCAACACGGTGCTGGTCGGGGGGCAGGAGAAGTATCTTATAGTGAGTACTACCAGTACAGTACCAACTTTCTCACACTATTGTTGGTCTGTGTTGAGTTATGAAATGTATCCCTCTCCACCATGACACAGAAAAATGAATATTCATCATGTCTCCTGTGTGCAAGGTTTAAATTGTCTAGTGAAATTCCCTTGGGAGAAAACCAATCCTCTCCAGTTCCAGTATGCTTTGCTTGGATTTTCACAAACTTCATTGTGGATTTTCTCTAATATAGAAACTGATGTTTTCCTCAACATTCTCAAACTCAGTGCTTAATGGGGGTCTCTATGACCCGCTACCTGAGCAGTCTCAGTGTTGTAATTAGTAAAGGAGAATTTTTACATTTATTATAGCCAACCTGGCTTTGTCCATGCAGGGGAAGGCAACAGGTTCACTTTAGTACTGCACCACAGGCTGCTCGTACTTCCTTCTCTTGGCCTCCCCACTAATCTGATTGGCCATCAGGAATGAAGAAAGGTAGTCCTGTGTTCATTGTGTGTCATCTTGGAGCTTACACAGGGCAGGGGACTCTCCCTGTCCCCATGTAACAGTGTTGGCCAATCGACCAATCTCCAGCACTGTCATGTGGGACTACAGGAAGCAAGTCACATTCTCCCTATACCCGAGTCACTTCATTAATTCTCAAAGGCCCGAGTACAAAGGGAAGATGAGTATGTGCAGCTGGTGGGGCCGGCATTAAAGCGAACCTGTTAATTTGCATGGATACGTCTAAAAAGAATCATTGACCTCTTATTCTTTAATATCAGGGATAACTTATAAAGCATGACACTGATTTCACACTGACAATTCAGTATAAAGACGTGAAAATGATGAAAAGGAATAGCTTTGATGCAAAGGTGTTCCTTGGTATCCTGAACTGAATCAGCATGTGGCTGTTTGATGCGCAAATGAGGACCATCAAAGGGTTCTTGGGGCTGGACACTGATGAACGAAGATCTGCCAGGACTGTCATGTCCTGGGGCAAGCCCGACCCCCTGCTGGTATTTACTGCCCACACCTGTGTTAAACCCAACACTTATTTAACCCCTTCATGACTGAGGCCCTTTTTTCAATTTTTGCACCCATGTTATATTCCACATTTTAGGCCTGAAAATGACGTAAAACCCCCCAACATTATATATTTTCTGAATGCCAAGACCCTATAGAATAAAATGGTGGTAGTTGAAAATTTTTATGTTGCGCAATATTAGCGCAACTCCTTATTAAACCCCAAAATTTAGTGACAAATTTAATTAAATGCCCCAAAACACAACAAATTACCCATTTTTTAAATGAAATATAAAAGATGAGGTTACAACGAGTAAAACGATACCCAACATGCCCAGTTTACAGATTGCGTGCGACCGTGAAACGGCGAAAAACTGCAGTACCCCAAAAAGTCAATAAAAGACACTTTAAAAGCCCCCACAGGTCATCAATTTAGAAATACCCCAAAATACTGGCCCTAGGATTATTGCTCTCACTCCGGCGTGCGCGGCGATACCCAACATGTGTAGCGCGTTCGTCGTTTTCATGCGTAGGCGCACCCGACGCGTGTTTACGTGGCGACGCGCGTGCTCGCGGGGGCGGGGTACTTTTAAAAATTTTTTTTTATTATTATTAGATTTATTTTATTTAAATTTAATTTTAAAAACTGTTTTTTTTTTTTTTTTTACTTTACTTTGACTGCTATCACATGGGGGGGCTTGCAAGCCCCCCCATGTAATAGCAGATGGTGGTGACAGGTCCTCTTTAAGGTGATGCTGGGGGTCCAAAAGACCCTCAGTGTCACCTTTACACTGGAAATAAGCTATTGAAGTGCAGATCGCACTTCAATAGCTTATAGCTGGGCTGCAGGAGCCCAGAACTGACAGCCCAGGGACCGGAAGTGATGCAATCTGCATCGCTCCCGGTCCCATAGAACGGGGAGGGGATCGATGAACGGAAGTTCGTCGACCTCCTCCCCAGCTCCCCGCGGACACAAAGATCGCCGGTCCGGGGTGTCCGGTGGGGGGGGGCGGCCCCTTCTTCGGGACGCAGAAGCGATCTGGCGACAGGTAAGTCGCCAGGATCGCTTCTGTTGTAAAGCCGACAGTCGGCTCTACAAGTTTAAACAGACTCCCGGCGGCAAAAGTCGCCGGGAGTCTGTTTAAACAGCCCCGATGCTGGCGACGTACACTGTACGTCGTCAGTCACGAAGGGGTTAATATTCAGTTGTTCATCAGTAATCTAAGGCACCCCCAAAACAAAGCACATTCTACAGACTTATTCTTGGAGATGGGTGAAATGGAACATACAGCGATGAAGAGAAGGCGACACGTCGGGATGTCATGTTTGTGTTAGAAGACAATACATCAGCTTCTGTATGCAATCCCAGGGCTGCAGTGTATGCTGCTCTGGTCCCATTCCCTCATCCTTTAATTGACAGCTTAATTATGTCATCCCACAGAGGAGCAACCTGACCTGAATCTGCGAGCTGACACCGTCTGCAAGACGTGCAAAGCTAAGAATAGTGCGCTGTGTCCCTCACCAAAATATTCTATGCAGTCTTATTTACATAGTATTTGAGGTTGAATAAAGACATTAGTCCATTAAGTCCAACCTATTAGGATCTCATTCTTAGGAGTACTACTTGTACCCCTGTATATTACGGTCCCTTAAAAAATCGTCCAATAGTTTCTTGAACAATTCCACATTCTTTGCTGAAATCACCGCCTGTGGCAGCGAGTTTAAAAGAGAAGTCAAGCCAAACTTTTTTGTTTGGCTTTAATTCTCTTTTGGGTCACAGGAGATTTACTAATGTCCTCCTGTCACCCAGGCTAATGCACACTATAACCTGACGGCACAGAGCCGTACCGCTTCTGGGAAGGATCCTGACAATATAATTGGGATCCACCTGGCAGCTTGATTGACAGCTGGCTCTGCCTCTGTAGAGCTAGCTAGAGCCAGCTGTGCCCACCCCCTGCCCAGTCTGTCCTTCCAATAAATGCAGGAGGAACAGGGGGGGGGCGCAAAATCCCTGTAGGTGGGACAATTAGTGAGCTCTCTGCAGGGAGAGAATCGGGAACTGATCATGATTGCTCAGCTCTCGGTATATAGAACCGACATGTGACAGCTGCTGCGTCCCACGGGACACCAAGTATCAGGAAGACAGGAAGAGTATATTATGCCTCCCAATACATCTCCTTTAAAGAGACCTTGTTACTGGAGGAAGAGAGGAAAGCTTTTGCAGGTACGCCTCCCAAATCTCCCATTCGCAATCAAGTCTCCATTGGAATCTTTCCCACCCCTTCCTGCCTTCTTTGCATTCCTATTAGCCCGTGAGATCACGGCAATGGGCCACAAATAATGCCAGCCGTATGCAAAGGAGGCAGAGCCTACTGTTAAGGGTGATGGGACATTGTATTGCTGGACCTGGATCCATTGGTGCTGGTGGTGGGTCTGCCATTCCCCTCCTGAACATCTTCATATAAGGAGGACAATAAAAACCAGTGACAGTGCCTAGGGTTGCAGCTTATCGCTTTCTCTCAAGTGCCTTTTGTAAAGTAAATAAAAGTTTTAGGGAAACTACAGACAGCGCTTTAAAGTGCTCTCTCTCCCCAGCTCTATGAGGTGGATGTGGACACGGAGTTCCTGAAACAGTCGGACGCAGGCTGTGACGTGGCCTGTTTAATGTACGATGTCAGCGACCCCAAATCCTTCAACTACTGCGCCAGCATATACAAGGTAAGGCCTACAAGGGTCACTTAAATCTGAACTGCCCCATGGCTCCATTTTGCACCTTTATGTACCTTGCTTACTCATCTGTGTCTCCTCCCTTTTACAGCAACACTATATGGAGAGTCAGACGCCCTGCATGTTTGTGGGGTGTAAATGGGATCTGGGCGAGGTAAAGCAACAGCACGGCATCTCACCCGCCGAATTCTGTCACAAGCATCGCCTGCCACCTCCCTATCACTTCAGCTGCCAGGGGACGGTGGACCAAACCATCTACAACAAACTAGCTACAGCTGCTGCCTTCCCGTGAGTATCCCCGGCCTTGGCATAAGTGGGTGTGGCTTAGTGGGAAGGGGGCGTGTTCTCACCACTGCACATGAATTTATTTTCATCTGAACATTAACCTCCATGGATGCCAAATGTATAGTAAGGTTTTATTTAACGTGAAAGTCTGGGGTGTCCTTTTATTACAGCCACATTGGAATATAATGGATTTTACTGGAATTTGAGGGGGAAAAGCTTCCTCTTTACCCCCTTACTGTCTGTAGGTTAACATTAATCTGCATTCCCCTTTTACACGTAGAAGTGTGCAGCCCTGTGACCTTTTTCTCTGTAAGACTTGGCTATCACTGACCGCTCTAGATCTCCACTGGCCATTGAGAACCAATCAGTGTGGTTCCTGATCATGTGATCAGCAAGTCAGCTGTGACCTAGTGATCACATGGCTTTGTTTACAACGAAGCATGACATTGACAGCTGCAACTGTACTGGGGGCCTTTTCACACTATGCTTAGTTGTGGCAAATCTGGTGCTTTATAATGCTTTGCAGCGCCCTGCGTTATCAGCCCATTAATTTTAAGGGCCATTCATACCGTCTCACGTTGCAGTAAAGCAGAAAAGAAAATATATGCATGCCAGTAACATGCATGTGTTACCGCATCACGATGGTGTGAACAGGTCCTGAATGGGCCTGCTCCTGGTCTTGTTTTTTTTGTGTACCACTGCAACACAGTTGTGGTGCACTATAGGGCACTGGCACTGTATAAATGTGCTGAGAATGGCACCTCAATGCATGGCACCATAAAAAGCAACAATCATTACATGCTGCCCGGCTTCCTGATTGGCCGGGAAGCCTGCTCCATGCTCCCTCGTCACTAAGTGACGAGGGAGCATGGAGCTGGCTTTCCGGCCAATCAGGAAGCTGACAAGCATGTAATGTGGCTTCCTGATTGGCCAGAAAGCCAGCTCCATGCTTCCTCATCATCTGGTGATGAGGGAGCATGGAGCCGGCTTTCTGGGTAATCAGAAAGCTGGGTGGCGAGTCATTACATGCCGCCCCGGCTTCCTTAATGGGACTTCCAGTATTGGTATTCAGTATTGGCAAGTATCAAGAGATCAATATCGGTACTCGATACCGAAAAAAACGGTGTCGATGCATCCCTACTCCATGCCTAGCAGTAGTGTGCACATTTACCATGGGATACCACAACTTAAAAACCTTTAACCCCTTCATGACTGAGGCCCTTTTTTCAATTTTTGCACCCATGTTATATTCCACATTTTAGGTCTGAAAATGACGTTAAGTCGCCAGGATCGCTTCTGTTGTAAAGCCGACAGTCGGCTCTACAAGTTTAAACAGACTCCCGGCGGCAAAAGTCACCGGGAGTCTGTTTAAACAGCCCCGATGCTGGCGACGTACACTGTACGTCGTCAGTCACGAAGGGGTTAAGCCTTTGTCAGCCTTTAATAAAAAATAAAAAAAACCTGCACAGAGAATTTTTAAAAAGTGGACGTAATAAAAGCCTTCAATGCCCTTAAAATGTAAATGGTTTAGTCAGTTAAATTAGTCATAGCGTCAATGCCAAGCTGAGTGACACCGCTAAATCTAGTTTGGGCATCGAGGCTTCAATGACAAAAGGGTGAAGTAGAGCACGCACTGAACAGAACTGTTTGATGGTGAAAGATTTAGCAGCATGCTACCTCCCAGAATCCTCAGCGGTGACTCTTTTTTCTTTTGTCTGTCTTTGCAGCCACCTCCATGACACGGAACTCAGCACAGCATCGTTTTGGTTGCGTGTGGCGCTGGGAGCCACAGTGGCCGCCGTCGTGGGATTCACGCTCTACAAAGCACTTCTACGCAGCAAATAGCTCTCATTACCTCCTCCGGCTCTAAACATGAACCAGCCTGATGACTTCACTCCCTCGAGCACTAACCACTGTGACTGACAGAGGAACGGCTGCTTTTTCTATGGGAGGAAGACCTATGATGGAGGGGGGTGGAGTCCCCTGATAAAAGGGGCCACCCAGATCTTATAGATAATCCCTTCTTAACCTTCCACTGCCCTCTTGTGACACAGAGGAACTTTGTAAAGTGGATCTCCACTGGCCCCAATTCTTAAAGCCCATTTCCATCTTCTTTGTAGAGGTATTTAAAAAAAAAAATGCCGGCAATGTACACAGAGTATACATAAAGCAGGCATGTGCAGCTGATGTATATGAACAGAGAAACTTACATTTTGGTAGATACAGAACCGCATGGAAATTTCTGCCTCTATGCTGTGCAAACAATGTGTGTATATGCCCCCCCCCCCCTTCCCTGGACAGTATATTGTGTGTAAAGGCAGAGCTGGTGTTTACTTACCATGTTACAATGGGTGACAGGGAAGGGGGCAGCTGATTACAATCTGACACTCAGGTGTCAGACTGATGTTCCTGTGGTGAAGATTTTGGATTTTTAGGATTCAGGCCTAATAAAACCTTCATAAAAAATGAAGAAAGCCTGCAATGTGCGTCATGAAAATGTGCACGCGTATACATCATCGCTGCACCTCTTCATTACCACAATCAATGCCGATCACTTACAAAGGTGGAAATGGACTTTAGGGTTTTTTTAACTGTTTTTCTAGTCTATTAAGGGACAGCTCCGCCCACTGCTGATGCTTTGGTTTTGGGTCTTGCTGACAAGTGTAATCCAATGCCAGCGTCTTATGTGTCTCCTAGACTTCAGCAAGGAAAAGCCCGACCCCGACTCACTGATCCCTCTCCAGAGGGATACCCGGTGTCGGCTGATTTTGTGACATCACACCCTCCGTCATGTGACAGTTCTTGCGCCTGGCTATTGACTGCGTAAATACTGTCACATAGGAGGAGGAGGTCACATGCTGCCCCATACCTGGAAGCTTTGGTTATCCTGTGCCGGCTTAGGTAGAGGAAGGAGTGGCAGGGTAGTGCTGAAGAGGTGAGAATCAAATAAGCAAAGTGTCAGGGTCCCTTTAAAAGACATAGATGGGGAAGTAATCCAGCCGTAGGAGAGTGACACCTTTGTTTTGACCTGGTATGAGGGGTGCTGACTGACTACAGACAGCAAATCATGATTATTACGTATATGAAGCCAGCAGCTCACTCATTTTCGGGTAGGGTTGACATTTAAAGGGCCACACTGATATTTAAGCAGCTGGTCTGATTGGCCCTCTGGCTTTTACACCTCCTGGGTACTCCAATGGTGATATTTCTGAAACAAAGTTCCACCATGCCAAAGAGTCTCACTTCTCTATCCAACAGGGGGAGTGGGGGTCCCTGTAATGCCTAAAACAGATTGGGAACTGCAGAGATTTTTACTGTTGGACTTGTTGAGTTGTAAGAAGCCAGTGGAGGGAGGGGGGTTCAGTCCACCAGCTCGCAGATATGAAGCCCCCTGCCCACCCGCTGATTCTCTTCTGCTGCCCTATTCATTGGTGAGAGCTGCGGGTCCGACCTGTGTATGAGCTCCATGTCTGTGTTGGAACTTACACAAGGTTAGTGACCTTCTCCCCTACCCCACGTATCAATGTTCTCCCTGGTGATTGGCTGCTCATGCTTGGGAGGACGCAGAAAAGGTCACCTGCTCCCCCATACCTGGAATCCTGTATATTCAAAAGAACCGACAGATGAATGAAGTGAGGGGGGAGTGTGGATATGGGGCCGCCCTATTAAGAGAACCTGTCACTTTGCCTTGAATGGAGTGACAGATTATGGAGGTGGGCCGACACTTTAAAATAGTTTTCTTTGCCTTGTTGGAACAATTCCAGTGGAGACCAAAGTGAACATATCGTCTTGTCTTCAGGTTTTTTCATTTATATTTAGTCTTCTCTTTTGTCTTTTTGTTTTTTTTTCCCTGGGCAATAAATGTTCTAATATCAGACCAGAGAAACATCGTGATGGTTGAATCTGTTTTTTTTTTATTTTATTTTAAATTTCCGGTGTATCGGGGACGCGCGGTCAGCATCGTAGGGGAAATTTGTCAGGACAGGCGTAGTGCAGCTCCATGGTAGCAGATTGGCTGTGTTTTTGCTTTTGGATCTTGTGTGCCAGGAAAGGCGTCTACATGATACAGATGTATTTCACTTCGAGCGCGCGGCTTATGGTGCCGACAACACATTATAAAGGCTTTGTCCACCTTTTGGCCCATGTTTCATGTCGTATCCATGTTTGGGGTATAACATGAAGCATAGTGTCACATACCCTATCCCCAAAACCCACACTACCCCCCTTCCGTTACCTGAATCGCAGAGCGCTTCTGCTTGAGGAATCCTGTTTTGTTTTTTTTATTGTAGCACAGTTGTGTATGGATCCGGGATCCATCAGTGCTAAACACTACAAGTCCCATCTGCCGCTGCGGCAGAGGAACTCACAGAGCACGCCTGAAGCAGAGTGGTGACGTCACCGCAATTGTAGTCCTGCCGCACTTCCTCCAGCCCCAAAACAGAAGGTCCGGACCTCAGTATGAACCTGGGGATGGGGGGCCGACATACTGCAAGAGCCCATGCATTGCACCCACAAAGCAATGATCATGGTTGCAATGCATAAAGTAGTAAACGTACATCCATCATGAGAGCAATGCCGCTGCGTTTACTACTTTTCTTTGCAAAAGGAGAACCGTCACTTCCGAATGATGGGAATTCTGTAGATTTACTACTTCCATCTGATCTAAAAAAAGGAAATAATGAGCAACTGAATGTACTAGGTTGTAATTGGTATTAGAGTGAGCCCGAGCCTTGCCCATGCAGGGTAAAGTGACTGACAGGTTCATATAAATGGCGGCCTCACTGGCTACATACTGTGTACTGTTTGCTCCTCTGCTGCTTGGTTTGCCTATGGAAGTGAAGTGACATATCTGATACTTCTGGTTACCAGGGATTATGTGACATGCTCCCCTTCTTTTGGTGATTAGACGCTCAGGGACCCTGCGTTGTCACCAGTGATGTGCAGGGCCTTGGTGTGAACCCAGTCCGCCCAAGCCCATGCAAAATTAACTGATGCACCCCCCTCCTGGCCCAATCATTTGTAGCAGGAGCATTCCCTGCTCCACACCTACATGTCACAAAGGGGCGGGGAATGCCCCTGCTGCAACTGATTGGTCCGTTGTGGCTGTGTCAATCACAGCTATGCAGGTGCTTGGGCAAACTGGGTTCCCTCCAAGCCGCCGCACATCACTAGTTGTCATATGGTGGTAGGAGAGTTTCCTCAGGCCAGGGCAAGCTCCAAATACATGCAAAGCTGGCCAGTATAGAGCCTCATTCTCAGAGCGAGAAACTGCGTCCCCATCACATATCGTGTCCACAGCCGCGGGCAGACTTGTGCCTTATACAAATGAATGGCCGGCTCCGATGTTCACATGTAACATACAAGTGGTCACATGCAATTGGACCTGGACGCAGATAGTTTGTGTCCAGGCCGGCGTTCTCAGCTTACTGTCCATTGAGTTTAGCTGCATCTGGTGTGTTGCTCGATGTCGGCGCCTTGGTGGCCTTGTCACTCTGTAGCACCCGTATTCATAAAAGCGAATGGTTAGAGATTAGACTTCGAGTTTTTTTGAAGTGTGACGGCTGAAGTCCTCGCATTCCACTCATATTCCAGTACTTGCTATATCGGTTCCACGCGTCGTCTGCGTTTTCTGTGCCGAGTAAGTTCAGGAGCTGCCATTTTTATTATATTCTCCCTGCCTTTAGACAAACCCACTTGCAATGTTGAGGGGAATTTATCAAAATCTGGAGCAGCTGTGAATGAGAACCAATCAGCTTCTCCCTTTAAAATCTTAACTCAACAAACTAAAAAGAGAAGCTGATTGGCTGCCAGGCACATTTGCTCCAGACTCTGTCTGCTCCAGTTTTGATAAATTCCCCCCATTATGTTTCCCTGAAATCTTGTGGACTAGGAAGGCTGCTGATGTCACTAATCACATGACCTCCTAAGTGTCACCAATCTCATGACCAGCAGACCAGGAATGCTGCACCTTACCAGTCATAGAGTCTTAAAGGAAACCGTTCTGGAGAGTCCCTTGAAGGCTTCCATTGCTGATCTCTGATCCTGGTTTGGTTATAAAAAGCCACATCCTGCAGCATTCAGGTTTTCAAGCTATCACCTACTGTAACTTGTATCATGTATAGAACGGACAGCTCCAGCAAACCAGCCTCTCTTCTGCCTTCAAATGGCTTAATGGGCTGTCATCTCACAAGCCAGCAATATATCAGTACTGCTGGTTTCAAGTAGCTTTTGCAATACTGAGCCGTCTGTCCCTCGGCTGATACTGAGAGATGGACGGCTTCAAGGTGGACACTAATATTCCTGGTCCGTGTCTCTTTAAATATCCGAATACTTTGATTTGCTTATTACGGGGTAGCCAACCTTGGCACTCGAGTCTCATCATGCCTCTGCCTATGGAAGCCATGCCTATGAAGTCTTGCAATGCCTTGTGGGGCTTGTAGTTCCACAACATCTGGAGCATGAAGGTTGCCTATCTCTGGCTTATTGTATCCTCCTCTCTCTGCTGCTTGAAATACAATGTCATGGATTTTCCATTAACAGCACCCTTCAGATCCGGTCAGGGGGGACCTCAGGTTCTGGTATTGTTAGAAATCAAGTTTCAGTTGTTGTGAAAATAAGATCTTTTGTCACCTTTGCGCTACGCCAGGCCTCTTGGGAAGCCATGCTGGAACTTGTAGTTGTACATCGGATGAAGTTCTGTTTAGCCCCTCCCCTTCCTTTCCAAAGCAGCGTTCCCTGCACTCTGCGATGTCACAGATCCCGTCCGAGGGATGCAATGAAAGGACGACATTTTATGAATCATTCATCTCCGTTGGCTACAGACTGACAGTATTTTAATTTATCGTCCAGAAGATTTGTATGTATTTGTTTTTTAAAGGTGTTGAAACTAATGTAAAGTGATTACAATTCTGGGCTGAAAATAGACTGGAAGCAACAAATGTTTCTTAAATATTGGACGATCTCTGTGAATAAAGGTTTTATAATTGCTGCAATGTCGCCCGGGGCTTTCTTTTATTGATCCGCTGGAAGGCAGCGACTTGTAGCGTGTTATGGAAGGTGAAAGTCAATGAACAGAGCAGAGTCCTCCAGA